AGTTGAAGTCCACTCGTCTTAAAGTGGCCAAGTTTGGACAACACTGACTTAGATGAACCTACTGAATCTATTGGAAACTGATGATTTTAAGCAAAAGCTCACACACCAGCACCAGCAGCTACAAGGATTTTCAGCAAGGGGGAGACTATAGTTTGATTTTTCCACTTTGGGAACCAACACTTCCCTGGTAATTATTTTTGTCTGCCACAACCATTGCTGATCACCAGTTCCATTTTCTATCCCTCTTGCCATTCTTAGTTTCCGCCATCTGAGCTCTTACATTTTATAAATGTATTTACCTGCACTTTCCACACATTATGCCTTTGAAACAGGGCAAGTTACAAAGCATTTTAATTTGGATTTCTACTTTTACCTTTATGTTATTCTTCTATTTTTTTAATTTAAAAAACCATCTTAATTCCAATTAATTCCAAGCACTCAGTTTGTATTTGGAGCTGTAACTGTGTGTGGTATTCTGCAGAAAGAAAATAATTTAACTATCAGAACTAAATCTCTTCTGGACAACTGGCATAGTGCAGAGATTGTGTTGTTGGACTGCTGCTAGGGAGATCCAGGTTCATGTCCGCCCTCAGTCTTTGACTTTGAGCTGGTCGCTCTTTCTGCCTAACCTACCCTACAGGATAGTTGGGGAAAAACTGGAGGAGGGAATGCCACGTGCCTTGAGCTTCTCGACAAAATGCAGGATATACATCTGAGGTGATCAGTGAACTTACCTAAAACACATTTATAAACAGGTTAAACTCCTTTGCCTCCATCTTTAAATATATCTTTTATTATTGACTGGGAATGAAGTTCCATCAATGGCAATAGAGAGCTTTCCCATAATTACTGTCAGGGAAAATGTGCCACTAGCACATAAACGTATGCAACAGCTTTTTGCTGAAGTGTGAATGGCCCAAATGGTAGTATAGGAAAGGAAACAAAACATATATTGTTATATATTGAACAAAACATGTTCCAAACCTTAGAAATGCTGCCTAACAACCAAAAAATAGCTTTATTTACAATTAGTATTGCAAATAATATTTTATCTTAAGGAAACTCTGGGTTTTGCACAATGAAAGCAGCTATATCCTTGCTTTTATTCCCTCCCCCCACATCCATCCATGTCTCATCAAGCATAACTTGATCAGTTTTTAAAATCTGTGTTTTATAATCTTATCTACTGCTCTTGCTGTTCTCCACTTCTCCTAGTTTCTTGATTAACATCTACCAACTCCCTCAATGTACCAATCTCTTAGGAATGTCACATCTGACAGCAGGCAAATGAAAGTTGTAAAAGAGATAATAAGCTACAGTAATGTAGGTTTTATAGCTAGAAGGTGTGAGAGAAAAAAATTGATCATCATATTTCCTCTTAATAAATGATCAGGAAAAATTGAGACAATTTAGAATTTCTATCTTGAGACCATCACTCATGCACAACGCAAGCAGTTCTTACATTAAAAAAAAAGAGGAAGGGAAGATTAATAAAATCCAGACTCCAACCTCTGGCTGCCCAACTTTAGCCAAATTTTAAAATCTCTCATGTTCTAAAGAAAACAAAAAACAGTAGTTAAAAGGGGTATCACAAAACTTAATAGAACTTCTTTAATCTAAATAGCTGTATCCCATAATTTTAAACACTTCCACTCTTTCTGCAAGTATATCATTTACTACTAGATTAGGAAAGCCAATTAAGAAAGAAAATAGTTAGGTTACCCATTATTGCCTGGGAAGCCTTATTGTTTTCCAAATCAAGAAAAAACAATCACTGGAACATTTTGTGAAATGGGTCAGCAGGTCAGCACCTAGATTGTCACATGCAAACCTCAATTTTGTTCACCTTCAGTTTAATTCTCTTTGGATTTGCAACCAGATCATTCTGGAAATAAAAATGATCATAGGGAGTTCTGAAAGAGATAAGCTGCTACAATGCAAAGGTCTTAGTCCAGTGAAAATGTGACTGCATCATAAATGGCACTAATCCACAGACCAAAGTTTATAAAGCTTTATTAAATCTGTTGAACAGCTGTGCAATGAACAAACAAAAATTAAAAAAAAAAACTACTGAGGTTTCACGATTGGATTCTCAGTTCCATGTCCTTTGAGAGAGAGAAAATGCCTTTTCAGCAATGCTCCTCCAAGGAAGATTGTGTGGAGCCAAATGGGAAGATAACAGATAACTTTGGAAAGTAACAGAAAAAGTGTCTGTTTGCCTTCTCCTCAGGGCTATCTTATATTTCACACAAGCAATAGCTCCTAAGGAAGAAAGAAAGCAGTCTTGGTGGGGAAAAAGGGAGTGGAATAAAACCATGAGCCAGGTACTACTAGAAAAAGGGCTCCCCAGAATCCTATGAAGATATGTAACCTAAACAGATGTCACTTTCTTCCACCCATATATGTGAACATGGGCTAATTTGTTTGTGATAACATAATACTTTTGGCCTAAAAAAAAAAAGCAGCATTACTCAACTGACAGCCCCAACTCAATATGGAGAAGCAGCCTAGATATCAGACCTGGTATAGTGATCCATCCCTGCACTCCAATTGCTTTTTCAAGCTAGAAACACTGGCAGCTTAAAATTCAAAAGCAACACAATAAAAAAGGCTCCTCAAACTTTACAGCAGAGCATGCTTTCTTTCCAATTCAGGGTCCTCCATAAAAAGTAGATGTCTGGCAGGGGCAGGAGAGAGTGAGACAGCTTCGGCATCTGTGTGGTAAAAATGGCATCGTGATGATTGTGGGATTTTTGAGCTATGACCTAGATAAGTAGTTTGGAAAACAGGCAGTACACACGTCCCAGTATGGCCTGCTGAGATAATAAGCAGCCTCTGGCTCCAGGAGCTGTCAGGCTTATCAGACACTTGAAAGTTCCCCTTCAGATGAACACAGTGATAAGCACTAGCTTCCTACTGAGCTCAAGATGGAGAAACAGCTTTCCAACTGTTTCAAGAAGATCAGAGACACATGTTCCAAAGGATTGATGGCTACATTCTGATTTAACATCAGACAACACTCAACAGGTCTCTTCACCACCAAATCAGAAATGGAAGGACCAAACTCAAACAATAATACAGAAGGAAGGGATGGACACCCGTGAACAGCTCTGCTTCAAACCCTCAAACAGACATCAATGCCAGTTACTACTATTAACAACTTTTGTCAAATTGTACAGGCAGGTTGTGGAAGTGCAGATAATCATGAATGAAACATTTTAACCGAAACATGTACTCCAATCACATGCCTTATATTCCCTCCTTCCCGTGAAACTGTCCTTTTAAAAGGAAAAAAAAAGTGCAACCAAGTAGAAGATTTTAGGTGCCAACTACGTTGGGATCATGAGCAGAGTCCGGCAGTTGGGAACCAGAGCAGTGGTACAAGAAACAATTCCCCCAGCAGCTGTAGCAGATGAGAAACAAAGCGGCCAAGAAGACCAAGGCACAGATCGTGCAAGGTTTCCGCTCCAACAGAAAACTCAGTAGGTAGAAGCCCATAAACATTGAGTGGCTGAACCACAAGGCTGGGTTGAGGGGTTTGGGAATAAGGAGGACCGGCAGTAACCACTGGAGACAGTACATGATGCCTGGTGGTCAGGACGTCACAGTGATGGCAGCAATCCAAGTAGTAGTATGAAACTTCTCCTCTGCACATTCAGCTCTTCACCAGTCAGGTAACCAGGCTTCATAAAACTTGGGGATAAGATACAAGTAAATCTTGATAGAAAAGAAAGGGAGGAAAAAAGGACAGGTCAGTAACACAAATTCTTTTTGTTTTTTATATATGTATTGCTTACTAATACAATCCATCAGAAATCTAGGACTTCCCATCCCTTTAAATGTTATTGAAGCCAAAAATCTCTATTTCATGCAACACAACATTTTAGCTACTTTTTCTCCAAGACAGTGGACAGAATGGGCATGGAACATTTGCAGCGTCTTTTTCAGTTACGTACAGCTTGTTCAATATATTTGTGTCCCTTGTTGTTTGAGTATACACTTTGGTCAAAAAGACCAAAGCCAATTTCAACTATGAGCATCAATATGTGAAAACTTCCTGAATATGAATGACAAGTTTTTCCTGGATCTGGAATATAACAGCAACAGAACTACACACCTTCTCTCACTGCAAGGAAGTTATTATAACTGGGGGGAAATCAACATAATTTACAATGAATTCTGTTCTTTCCTTTTCCCCTCAAATATTGAGGGTGATATAGAACTGCCCAATGTAAGAGCCAGTAAGTACCTGGTTTAAGTTTTACCTTAGTCCTGAATGAACTAAATGGGTTTTTAAAGCCACCATTTCTCAATCTCAGAACCACATCAACTATTTGGAGTAAATACTGATTTAGCCATACAGCTCTGTCATAGGGATGTTGAGAATTTATATGCACCATTTTTAAAATGTAAAATGCATTAAATAAATGCTATTCAACTTAGATGAGAAGGGAAAAATGCAAGTACTGTAAAACAAAGATTGGAAACCAGGGAGAAAAAGAGAGGTCCTCTCACGTACGGAATGATTTCACTCATTTCTTTGGACAGAAATGTAAGCTAACTTCTAACTTCCAAGTGAAAAGTCTCTTTAAGAAAAGACTTAAAAATGAGGACATACATTTTTAGGAAATAATCCCACTTTGGCATAAAAATGTAATGAACCAGTTACATTTTCATACTCCTGTTTCTTGAAACAATAGAAATGTAACTGAGGTTATACTTCTAAGAATATATAGAATCTGAAAAACACATTTACAGTTCAGCTGAAAAAAGGAATCCCAGAGGGAAAACCTGTGACATCGTGCTTGTACAACTTATGATCTACCAAGATAATTAGCTTTAGTACTTTACAGGAAAGCTGATCTTTAGAATTAATTCTATAGCTGCAGCAGTATATATTTCCCATTTATACAGAAACAAATACACGCAGTGTAATGCACTGGTATATTACCTTTGCTAAGATAAGTAACTTACTACTGTTGCAGTGGTAAATGCCAAGAAATGCCTGTCATCGTAGCTCCTGTCTCCTAAGATTCAGGTAAGAGCAAGCAATAGCACTTTTACTTTATGAAGGCGGAGTGACACCATGAAATCGACCGTGGCATCCTTAAAACAAAACAAAACAAAACAATTTTGAAGCATGGCATCCAGCTGAACAGCACTTATTTAATGTAAGGATAAATCTTTGGGGATACATGGTATATTTGTGCTCAAGAAAAAGAATTTAGTTGTAGTTCACTTGAAGATGGGTAGCAAGAGTTTTCCAACCTATAAATGTGCTCAATATTCTTAAGCAGGTACATGATATTACAGAAAGGCTTATTAAATATTGTCAGTATATTGTCTCATCACATCTTATATGACACCTTATGCATTATTTCAACTGATAAAAATACATAGAGATCATCCCATCGGATTCAGATCATACATACTTCTCTCTAGGACAAAGTTCTGGAAAAAACAACAAGAAGCTCTTTAGGTGACAAGTATTTCTTTAATATATGGGTCCTTAGCTTGCTTTCTTATTTAATGTCAATATCCAATCCACAGTTAATGTAACTTTGGAATCTGGGTCACCTGAAATATATTCCCCCCATAAATAAACCTGTTATACTAGCCTGCCAAATCTCCCAGTTTCCCTCCCATTCAGAAACTCTTTAAATTGCTGTAATTATGAACATGAAGGAAAATTAAGAACCTAAGGAAGAATATTATAGTGCAATCTGTTTACGGTTCTCTTAATGATAGCAGCGCAGGGGGTATATATGACTAGAGTGACCTGAGGTTTGTAACTAGCTTCATTTATGGGTGAAAAACAAAGCATGTGTAAATAAAAAGTTCTCTTTTATGGCAGCGAAGAAAGTTTTTTAGGATCAGATAGAGATAACAAAGAACTAGCAAAGATAAAAGGCTATTCCACTCCAGGCTCCACTGAAAAGCTATCAGATAGTATTATGCACATTGTCATAGAAACCATCACATAAGGCTAACTAACTTGGGAACATCCAAAGATTTTGTGAAGTCCCACTCTGCTGATAACTTTCTCTCTTGCAGTTGCTGCAGGCAGAAAACCATATCAGCTGCTTGCCTACTTGTTCTGAAAGAACCCACGCCTCCAGGAATACTCAGAAAGTTATTTCAAGAAAGGGGTTTTTTTCCAACTTACACTCTAGCAAGCACTTTTCTTAAAATATAGATGACAGTTTTCAGTTTAGTTGCTCAACTTCTTTAGCTGCCTTCACTCTATAGGCACGGAATCTAACAAGCCAAAGCTGAAGGGCCCCTTCATCACAGGGGCAAAACCAAAATCCAGATGTTTGGGGCAACTGAAATGGGAAATGGATGGTATTGACCCCTTCCCCTCACTCTTCTTTAGACCGCTGGTCAACTTGCTGAATATTTTCAAAGAGGGAAAAACCTGCAGGGGAAATGGGGAAAATCGGTAAAAAATAATTCCCCTTCTTTTACTGGTAAGGGTATAGCGTATGCAGAACGCTCACCAATAGTAGCAAGTTTATAATCCTAATTAATGGTAGCAGGTGCCATCTGCTGTCAAGGACTCTATGACATAGTTCACCATACTGCGGTTTTGAAGATTTTCTCAACCCAACCTACCTCACAGGATTGTTGCTATGGGGGAATTTGGGAAAGGAAATGCTATGTATTCTTCCTTGAACTCTTGAGGGAAAGGCAGGACATATATCTAATAAAATAAATAAGTAAAACACACACTGAGGCTTAGCATTGTATAGAATGCTATAGCTTCTTCAACAACCTGTAATTTAAAATAAATTAAAATAAATTATAAAAAAAGCCCGTTGGTCTAGTGGTTAAGGCACCAGGGTAGAAACCAGGAGAGTGTGAGTTCTAGTCCTACCTTAGGCATGAAAGCCAGCTAGGTGACTTTGGGCCAGTTGCTCTCTCTTAGCCCAATTAACTTCACAGGGTTGTTGTTGTGGGGAAAATAAGAGGAGACAGGAGTATTAGGTATGTTTGCTACCTTGAGTTATTTATAAAAATAATAAAGACGGATTTAAAATTTTTTTTTAAAAATGCTGGTATAGTGTTGTGTGAATCCATTCTGCTGAGGTAGTCTTGGCTTAATGTATTATGTAAATCTAACCATTATGGTTAGATCATAATCATGGTTTATTACTGTCAAATATGGTTTATTCATATCATCATTAAGCACAATGTATGAACCAAGCTACAGTATGAGTTGGCTGTTTGCTCTATTGTGATGTTTAGAGTATGATGTGTGGATCCAGCTACAGTGTGAATGGCTTTGCTCATTACTGTAGCTGTCTGAAAGATATTTTCATAATGAAACAGAGAAATATACTGTTAAGTTTTTTTCTTCATAGCTAATTGAGCAAGGCACAGTTAGTTCATGCATGTTAAGCCAAAGTAAACAAACCACATTATGGCCTATCATTATATATGAATCAGAGATCTAAGTTTATCCTTACTGATGTTAGAATCCATCATCTGAGTGGTAGGAGCAGATGTTCATGGGAATTAGAAGCCTATCATTCATTCATAAACTTTCCCAAAGTATGAAGCATCTTGGATTTGACACAGCTCAATCCCTTACCACTTTATATAGACATCATGAAAACACTGTTGTCTACTATCTTAAGTTTTTCTGGTGTTCTATGAAAATTGTATGTTGTCCAGGCTGAATTTCTGCAAAACCATGAAAATATTTTAATTGTAGATTTAGTCTGCTTTTTTCTAAGCATCTTACTAATGGTACTTTCAACTGTTTCCCACAGTTTACAGTTTTAGAGAGAAAGAAGAATCCACACAAAATCTCACGTTCAACTGCAGATATGTATTATTAAAAGAATCTTAGGCATCAGGTCTGGGAAAGGCTTCTGCCCAAAACCAAAACCTATCCACTGTCTAGAAGATCAAGCTAATGCTAGAGCAAGTTAGATCATGATTTTAGATATGACAATTAAATCTTTGGATCTGATGACCATAATGCATTAGCAATAAAGTAAGGACTCCCTGACATCCAGTTCAACTCCTAGTGATTTTGTGGACATGTCCATGCAAGTTTCTTGATTGACTGTAGTTTGCCACTGCCTTCTTCAAGGAAGTTTTTTTTTTTTAAATCCCCATCTTGGTATAGCCCTGGGATTTCCATTCACGTACTAACCAAATCTGACTCTGCTTAGATTTTTGAGATCACCCAAGGTTCACTAAATGTTGTCATTAATTAGACATACTACTGATCATCTGAGATTTCCCTGTATCTTGCATTGAAATCATCAAGGAAGCATTTAATAGGAGCATTCAAGTTATCAAAATTGCATTAACTTCAAAGTACAAAAATAGTGAAAATAGTAACTTTTCAGTTCCTGAATATTCATTTGCCTCTCCCCATTCTTTAGAATATCTCCTCCATTATAAACTTAATTCCCATTTCCTTGCCACTTGGAGACATTTACATGCCAACATTATGAGATCATCATCTGGGAGTGGCATGAAACAGACCATGACTAGTTCTCCTTTATACATTGACCACATCTTACAAGCTATTCATGAACACTGAGCAAGAAAGATCTATGGTTTATATTTATTTGTTCTAGGTATCTCAAGACAAGAAACCATGTAAAGCTTTTATCTCATTCTCCCACAGTCTACCAGGAGAATTTGAGCCATCAAGATGACCTGAAGAAGGAAAAACTGGCTTTAAATAAAACCAGAAGAATCTCATTAAATAATCTGAACCCTTAGAAATGCAAGCCATATGAGCAAAGCTACAGACTTTTGTACATAACGAAAAGTTTAACAACTCCAAAGCAAAAAGAATATTTGGGGAACTTTTGGTGTATGAGAAATAACAGAATATAAGGAAATATCAGAAATAAATTACTAGGTTCATTTAAGTCAGATCTTTCGATTGTGAAAAATATAGAAGGAAAAGGAGGTGTTTTTCTCCTTTTGGCAAAGGGAATTGTTATTCTTCAATAAAATCAAATCTTCAGATAAATGGAGAAATACTATGAATCAGGAATTTCATCCTAAGACAGGCTTCCATGCCTTTTTTCTTTTACCCTATATCAGCTAAATTAAATATTTTCCATTTTTACAGGAGCTAATAAATATCAAATAATGCAGCAGTATTTTATTTTTGTTGAGGATGAATGAAAATAAGATAAATATCTCACCACAGTACATACAATTCCATTGAGGGAAATCTTTTCCCTTTTTTGTGGCTTTGGTGTTCTGTGTAGCTAGATAGACTTTCTTCCCTTAAGAAAATGAAACAGTTTGTTGCCGAAGGCATTAGCGACAAGTTGAAATTGCCTGTCTTGTATTTGTATATCAGAAACAACACACTGCAAACTATCCTGGTCACAAAATTAATCCTACTGAAATATATCCACCTCTAAGAATTACTTCATGATACAAGAGCAAATAAAACCAACAAATTTCCCCCTGTGATTTAGCAGCATTTTTTGTGAGGGGTGCCTTCAAATCAGTATTGACTTCTGAGACTACCGGAGTAGTTACCCTGCAGTTTTCTTGGCAAGATTTTTGGAAGTGGTTTGCCACTGCCTTCTTCTTAGGGCTGAGGGAAAGTGACTGGCCCAAGGTCACCCAGTTGGCTTCATGCCTAAGCTGGGAATAGAACTCTCCTTGTTTATAGCCAGGTGTCTTAACCACTACAACAAACTGCCTCTCCATCAGCAATTTAAAAAGATTTTTTTTAAAAAATATATCAAGATATCCATATATACTGGACCCAAAATGATACCAGCAGGAGATAGAGAAAAGTCATATTACTGTCAAATGTGGATTAATGTTTAAAGAAGAAGTACATTCATGTAGATATTATTTGTACTAAACACAATCAATCAGAGGATGGAAAAAGAGCTAGAAGAAAAAACATATGGAGTTGAAACAGATAAGTTATCAAAACTCCCTGGAATTGCACAATATAGAACAGAAAATCTCTTCTTAAAAACAAAAAAGGTGAAATTCAAATAAAACAGGAAATGGTCTTTCACTATAAGTTTAATAAAATATCACTATTTAAGATTGTTACCATCTCTGATTTGTTTATTTTCATCTTGATTAAAATTATCTCAGTGTCCAAGCCCAACATTTAATAATCTATGAAATCAAACTATCTTGGTAGTCTTAACATTTTCCTCTGTTCCTCTATAACCTTAATATACTGGACACAAATTTGATTTTACAAATGCATTTCTTCCTTATGTTTCCATCTAGTTGTCTACCTACATCACAAATTGGTTTCAAAAGTGAAAGGAGAAGCCTCAAATATGGAAACCAAGAAAAAATAATCATAAATATGCAGCAGGAATAATTTTACCTCTTGGTTTTTCAAAAACATTAAGTATCCCCAAACACAGAACTAAAGTTATCTAAAATATATATTACCCTATCTGCCAAAAGCTGTATTAGCATTTCCACAGTTTTCCAGCAAAGAACTAGCAGATCTCTCACTGTTAAACTGATTACTAAATCCCTATGCTGAAATAACTTCTTAAGTTAGGGATTCCCACTTTAGAAAAACACGGCAGATTTTACTAGTCTACCACTTTTACAGATCCATTTACTATCACCATACTGTTTGTTCTCTAGCGCCCAAAGTACATGGGTACGACAGAAAAGACTGAGAGTGGTTAAGAAAGGCCTACCATGAGTAATGATAACTTACAGAGAGTCATAATGATGACCTCGGTAAAAGAAGTTAATATTTAATATGCCTGACAAGTTGAGACATGACCCCTTTAATTCATCATTCTGTTTCAACAGCGGCCTTTCATGGGCCTCTGTGAAGCTCACAAGCAGGAAAACAACACCCCAACAAACTACTCTTGCCAAACCCTGGGTCTATCACGCTACTGAGGGTGACTAACAGCCATTCGTGGATCCATTTCCCACAAACCTTTCTATCCCTCTGGAACAGCCAGCTAAGCTGGTACCAGACATCTCTAGAAAGTTATGTTCGCCATGCAGAACCGGCACTGCCAAATAAACGTGTAACTTCTGGCTATCCTGTTCCTTCCCTCTGTCTGGGCTGCTTCAGGAATAGCACTGAACAGAAAGGCAGCCAGTATCATCCTCTTGTTGCAGGGGACTCCAGAAGCAAACCACGCGTTCGGGATCCGGGCGTGCGGGCGGCGGGTGCGGCTCCGCTGACCCGCTCCACCTTTGCAGAACCGAACTTCCCAGGGCGATCCTCGAGTCCTGCCCTGAGAACGGACCTGATGGCCGGAGGGGGGAGGGACGAGAAGCGATCGCTCGGCCCAGCCGATCAGCGGCCACGGACACCGCAGAATCCAGTAAAGGCCTCCCAGCCCAAATGAGATACGGAACCCACCCAAATAAAGGCGCTCACCCCGTCCCCGTGCCGCCAGCGCTGCTTATGAGTAAGCGACACACCCTTCCCTCTCCCGGCGCCACGACACATCCCCCCTCAGGGCTGCCGTCGAGAGACAGGAGCCCACCCGCCGGGCTTACACCTTCCCAGCGAGAGTTGCCTCAACACCTTCGAGAGCGCCCCACCGCCCCCACCCCAAGGCAGCACCATTACCTGCCCTCCACGCCATAGCGCCCTGTCGCCCCACGCCACACTCACTCGTTCGCTGCGTCTCTCGCTCCACGTAGGACCTTCAACTGTCCTCTCGGATCGCCGAGGCCAGCGCCTTCTTTTAGAGCGCTAGCAATTCAACTCCTCCTGGAAGGCCGAGTAGCCCTCGGCTTTTCACACACGTCTCTTATTCTACTTTTGCTCTTCTACTACAGGAATAATCGTCCCGTCCCCAAGAATCGAGTGGTGTTCTGAGCAGGCATCGCTGTAGATGGCCCTACCGTTTCGCTCTCACTAGGCGGAAAGGTCCTTTCGTTAGGCTGGAAGCGGAAGATGCCTCGTAAATACTGTATGCAAGAAATAGAATGAGGGGGGAGGTGGGTGGAAAGTACGTACTGGAATGCGACAGAGACGGACTTCGGAGGAGGAGGGTGCGGCTGCGCTAATGGGATGACGAGCGTGAAGCCGGTCCCGCAGTCTTCCTCGTGCCTCGTTCAGGAGCCGCGATCGAAGTGCTCCCGTCCGCAATAGCGGGGGCCGTTTCCCTCGAAACATGAGAAGCACCAGGTTCCCTGGGGCTGCGGCCACAAAAGGAGGTGGAAACGAAGCGAACCAGACTCCAAGGGGAGAGGAGAGCACTTTGGATTACTCCCCTCCGTGAGAACAACTCCTTGCAGGCAGAAATATAGCAGATCAGGGGAAAAGGTTCTACTCTTGCTTATGATTTTGGCAATTTTTTTCTACTTGCAGAAGCTTTTTACTTTTTCAGAGATGCTGAAAAATATCCCTGCCACGTTAATCAGGGACCTGAAATTCTGGTGGGGGCCCCTGAACATTGTCGGCTGGCTGTAGCTTTGGAGAGAAAGCAATACAAACCGCTTTGTTTAAATGGACGGTTGTTAACGGCGCTGTTGGGCTGCCTCGTTTGGTTGTTTTTTTTTTTTTTTTTGTAAATTGCATTCCTTATTAGAATAGATTGGGATTTGAGGCCCTGTTGAGAGAAAGCAATACAAACCGCTTTGTTTAAATGGACGGTTGTTAACGGCGCTGTTGGGCTGCCTCGTTTGGTTGTTTTTTTTTTTTTTTTTGTAAATTGCATTCCTTATTAGAATAGATTGGGATTTGAGGCCCTGTTTTTACGTTTTGTACATGAAATGGCTTTTAATGAGAATGGCAGGCTGAGGTAGCTTATGTTTTGGTTACTGAATTGATTTATTTAGCAAATTTATATAGCCACCCATCTCACCGAAGCGACTCTGAGTGGCATACAACAATCAGATAAAGGCAGATATAAAAACAACAGAAGAAATATAAAAAACCACATTAATACATACCATAGAAAAACAAAAATACAAACCATAGTGGAAGGAAGAATAAGAATGGCCCCCTCAACAATGGAGCCATCTAAGCAAGTCTCTGGTTCCCTGGGAGCCCCAGGCCTCATCACATAGCCAAGTTTTGAGGGCCTTTTGGAATAGCAAAAGGGATGGCATTAATCTAATCTCGGGAGGATGTTCCATGAGGGAGGTGTCCCAGCAGAGAAGGCATGTCTCCTGGGACCCACCAAATGTAGGTCCCTAGCCAATGCTGCCCGCAGCATGCCTTCTCTATGAGATCTGATGGGGCGGGCTGTGTAAACTGGGAAGAAGTGGTCCCTCAAATAGCCGGGTCTGTATGTATGTATGTATTAAAATGTATTGCTGTAAATTTCCAGGATCCTGGAATATAGGGGGTATTCTGATGTCACTTATATGGGATGGGCAGCTATATAAATCAAATCAAATAAAGGTGTGTGCGCATGTGTAATTAAGATTTGTATCCTGCCTTTATACACACACACAAACACCCCCCCCCCCCTAAATCTACAGGAATGGGAGAGTGCTTAGTAGTACTGTATTAAAGCTTGAGAACCTTGTGAAAGCACTTGAGGAAGATGGGAGCTGCCAAAGGAGAAATCTGTGATCTCACTGTGGCATACTGAAACTCAGCAAATTTATATACGCTCTAAAAGGACGCCCTTGTATGATCTGCATGTCAGCTATGAGAGTCAGCATTGTGATTTGCAAGTTGTATAGCTTGCTTATTATTTAGGGATAATGCATTTCTGTGCATTTGTTCCTATTTCTGTAAGACTTAAAAAAAATCTCCTCTCCAACTGAACTACTTTTCAGATGTTAGGGGAGGAATAATTAGCTTTATTTCACTGCATGAAATAGCTAAACAAATATCAATAATTTTCAAATACTGTCTTCAAATTAACAGAAAGACAAAGGCATTATATTAATATAAACAAAATGGCCAGAAAATGTATATCATAAACTACAGTTCCAAAAATTTTGACCAAGTTATTTGAAAGGTCTCTTAAAACCTCATTAAAAAAAGATTAATATACATATTGACCAAAAAAACCCCCATGTATTCTATTGATGCAAATAAGTGTATCCTTCCAGTGGTGTATAATCCTTTGGCCACTGTCTATATGCAATTATCTTGATAGTTTCCAAATGCTAGATTATGTGCTATCAAGTCATTTTTGACTCCTAGTGACCACACAGATTCCTAGAGAACTAGTAAAAAAGAAAATATGCATCTTTGCTACAGAGTGAGCCACCTGAAGTCATGAATTCAATAACCTGCAGTCCCAGATGTCGTAGTAGTAGGATCAGCACAAGCAATGAGTTAACGTTCCAGTGAATTACCTTTCTAACAAGGTGATAGCAACTCTTATTAAAATATTCTCTTCAGTTTCCATATGCACAAAAATTTTGTATGGTGTTAAATATGTAAATTCATGTGCACTTAGGTAACAGGACATATGAAGTAGTTCCAATGTTGATAACAGCAACCAACCTTCTTTGAAGCCCATTAAGAGCAGGCAGTGGCTAGCGATTTACCATTCAGCTATAGTGTAGACTATTTCGGAAAAAATAAGGAAACTTGAATGCAAATCCAAATGCCATCGTTCAGAACAGAGATTCAACCTTCTTTCTGGACTAAAAGTCACACTTGGTCTTTATTTATTCATAGATTCAATTTATATGGCTGTCCAACTCAGAAATGCAACTCTGGGCAGCTAACATCCGATTAAAACATCATCAAACAAAACATCCTAAAAACACACTGCACCTGAGGCCACTCATATATCTGCCTAATCATCCCTTAAAGTCTTAATACCCTTGTCCAACACCCAAGGGGGAACCAGGTCTTCAATGCTTCACAAAAGGCTGGCAAGACCTGGGCCATCTGTGCCATAGGGGTATGCTATTCCACAGGGAAGGCATATCTCTTGGTCCCATCAAATGATGTTGTTTAACAGAGGGGACCTGGAGCATGCCCACCTTGTTGCATCTTGTGGGAAAGTCCCCCAGATCTGGGAGGCCTTAGAACCCATAGGCATTCAGTTTTGCTAGGATTTAGCCTAAGCCTGTTCCTCTTCATACAGACCCGCTCGGCTTCTGGATACCAACAATGAGCAATATGTATTCAGAATTCAATAAAGATTTGACAGTGCACTGTTTTGCGTGTGCATCTTTAATCAGAATCTCTTTAGCTATTCACAAACTTTCTCACCACTGTACATACAGTGGGGCAAAAAAGTATTTAGTCAGCCACCAATTGAGGGATAGATTT